TAATCGAATGTTGGTGCAAAAATCTATGTCTGCTGAGGTTGTAAAGCTTTTGACTGAGCTGACTGTGCGTCAAACCCTGAAAAGACAAAAGAGGCAGACATTTACACTGGCCAGTTTGGTTTATAGGAACCTTTACACAAGCTGAGATGTCTAAACTCCTAAAACTAAAAGGTTCTGTTGGAGGTTTTGTCTTGTTAAGGGGGATGTTCCCTCTCCACTGCTGCTATATGCTTGCTTAGTGTGTGGATTTCTGGTTATCTTACTCAGTAAAGAGTTGATTATTTGGAATAACGATTTGAACTTATTGTACTGATACGTAGGTTCAATTGTTTACTTTGTAAAGTGCCTAGAGATTACTCTGGCTGTGCATTGGGGCTATTTAAACAAACTGAATTGAATCTAACTGAATAGATCTAACTAGCCCACATAGGGAGAACATGCCAACTCCATACAGAGATCCCACAGCCGGGATTCAAACTAGCCTCCTTCTCTGAGAGGCTACAGTGCTACCAACTGCTCCACAGACATACATGTAGACGCCTTGTGGGCTGACACTGCCTATTGAAGCGGGCGTAGCGGACGGGCCCCGTCAAAAATGTGTTCCGGTTCATGGCCAAAGCAGGAGTCTTGACTAGTAATGAGTTATCATAGTCTAGGCGAGAAGAGATAGAAGCATGTGTCACAGACTCCAAATTCAACCGTTTCAAAATTAGCTTCTGGCGTGTTAACCAATGCAGTTGAAAGAAACATGACTTCACAACAGCATTGATCATCTTAGGGACCATTGTAAATCCTGCATCCAATTTCACCCCAAGGCTGGTAACACACCTCTTGAGGTCCAAACCTGGAAGAGTTGGAGCCACAGAGGTGTGATACAGGTCTCTGGGGTCAAAACGAATGACCTCCGTCCAAAGCCTGTTTTACACTTCTCTGTGAGCTTCGCAATGGAGAGATGCACGCGAAGTGCCGAAAAGGTTTTCTCATTCGAACTTCTGTTCAGGCAGCGAAGCGTTGCAAAGCAATTCCCCGCCAGGAGGACAGAGGGAGTAGGGTTTTTCTGTGGTATCCTGCCACCATAAAGCCTGGTTTATGCTTCTCCGTCAGCTCCGCAAGGGACAGACACGCACAAATTGACGGAAGCGTTTTGCTCTTTTACTTCTCCGTCTCCTGGAGAGTGTTGCAAAGCAATTGCCCGGCAGGACCACAGAGGGCGTAGCGCTGTTCTGTGGTATCCTGTCATGTATCGGTCCAAGATGGTGTGTTTATATTGTGTTTTTGTGTATATAAGAGACTTTTAACACGGACATATTTGTCTCTCATTCTCCTCCATCTATTCATGCGCTCCCCACCTCTAAACCTACGTTTCCTGTCATTTCCGTCCACAAATAAAACTCTTGCTGTGCATCTTTTCACTCCTCCAGTCACGGGAGGATGAAACGTTCATATTTTTAGAGTTTTTTCGCGAGGCATTCTTCAAGCTTCTCCGTGTCTGCCGCTAGTTAAACTCGGCTCTCTTTGCAATGGCGGCGCTGTAAACAACAGCGGCGTCCTGACCAATCACAAGCTTGCGTAATCCGTCTCGTTCGACGGATGTTTAAAAAAGTGGGCTCGACTCCGTACGTACTTGCGTGCCTGCCGGAGCCCTACGCAAAGACGCTGCGTGTCTCCGCACTGACGCAGACGGAGAAGCATAAATCAGGCTTAACATTCATGTATCTGGTCCCTGATAGTGTATTTACAAATGTGTTTATAAATTTGAGAGACTTTATAACACGGACAAATTTGTCCTTCATTCTCGTCCGCCTCTTCATGCAGTCGCCACCTCTAAACCCACATTTCCCGTCGTTTCTGTCCACTTTTGCTCTCTGCTTATTTTGTACTCCTTCACTCATGGATGAATTAATGTTAATATTTTTGCACTTTTGCTGTGATGCGTTTTTCAATATGTTTGGGGTCTGCCGCTAAATTTCTGTTTACTTTTTTACGGAGTTACAGCGATGCTGGTGACGAATATACAGGAAGCGGCATCCTGACCAGTCACAAGCTTGCGGTCTCTGTCACTTTCGACAGATGTTTGAAATTTTGGGCGTGCCTCCATCACCCTCTGAGAGCCCGTCGGAGAGGCATTGCGTCGACGCATAATGGCGTTGGGTGTCTCTGCACCCACTCAGACAGAGAAGTATAAATTAGGCTTTAGACTCATTAAGTTTAAAGAAGTTAGCTGCCAACAACCCCATCACATCAGATAGACAATACTTGAATCTGCATTTAGTCCATGAATAGGTATATTTGACAATCTTTGGCTTAGATATGGTAGCCTATGCCGTACCACTCACGAATCTGCCCCAGAGAGAGAAGATAGATGGAAACCAGAAGGGGCCCCAGGACAGAACCCTGTGGCACCACCCAGGTCAAGGAAGGCAGGGAGAGGCACAGTCACCAATCCGCACACAAAATGTCTTATTTGACAGGTAAGAATGGAACCAACCTAATGCAGGACCTAAAAGACCAACCCAGTATTGTAGATGATCTAGCAGGATTTGGTGGTCGACTGAATCAAAAGCCGCAGAGAGATCTAACAGCAGCAGCAAAACATGGGACCCTGAATCAGATGTCATTCAGCACACGAATCAGAGCGTACTCAGTGCTGTGGTGTTGTCTGAACCCAGATTGAAACATATTCCAACAGGTAGGAAAGTCCAAGAAAAGCCCCACGTGATCTGTTTTCAATAGTAAGCCAGTTGTTGCAACTGTAGGCTGTACAGAAACGGGCATTGACTCCAGCGGGGTTTGAAGAGTGAGGAGACCCACTCAGTATGGCAGTGCTATGCTCTCCAGTGCTCGATGTGGTGTCTATATATTAATGTCTATAAAGTGCTCCACCATTCAACAATATCCTTCTCCAGTTAACATTCTCCTTTCCTGTTGGTTTTTTTAACTTTTGAGGGGATTAAGTAAAGATGTCGTGAGAGTCTTGAGAAAACTAAACTAAAAGGCTTTTAATGAAGTGTGGTAGTCCACATGTCTGATCAATAGATTCAAACATGTTTTAGGGTTCTGTTTATTTTCAGTCATCATTTCCTTTTCTTTTATCTTTTTTATCCATTGCCTCTCTTCTCCATGGGAGTTCACAGCTCAAACAGTTCAAGGATTTAGGACCATCTTTGTCTTAATGAAGCCACCAGGCCTCCTCAGATCTTCAACAGAAGAACAGAGAGAAGGCTGTACTGAAAAGGACACTGAGCGTGTTTGTGTGTCTCTAGGTTTGTCGCTGGGTGGCACACAGAGGTCACTAGCTTTACTATCTTCCATGCTTGATTTTTATTTTATGTCCAGTTTTCTAAACCAGAGAAACAGAAGACAAGACTCTCCCCCCGCTGTGGCTGAAATCCTACAAAGTAAGAGATGACCCCAAATTTAGCAGGGTGGAGACTTGTGGTTGGGTTCGCCGAAGGATAAAAGTCAGATACATTTTCATAGTTTTGTCATTTAAAATCACTTGAAAAAGCTTAAACTATAAGCTGCTTCAAACGCTGAAGCAGGGATGTTTATTATCATTATTAGTGTTTTTATTATTTTAGAGCAGGCTGTGGTGTGACACAGTTAGTAGCACTGTTGTTGTGACCAAGAAGGCTGCTGGTTCTAATCCTGCCTGCAGAACACATTCTCACACCCAAAGCGTCAATATATGATGATTCGGGATGCCCCAGCATGTCAGGAGATGACGATTAGGGACACGCAGGGACACGTGGCTCCGCTGGCGTCAGTGTTTGACGCCCGCGGTCACACGGACATTATTCGACTATTTAACCTTCCCCTCACCCCAATCCTAACCTTAAGGTCAGTAACTGTGACCTTATGTCATGCTGTGGGTAAGAGCTTTCACCCAGGACATGAAGAATCACGACAGGGTAAGAAAAATACAAGTGTTTTATTTCTTAAAACAGAAATAAGGGAACAAAACTAGAACTAAAGGCGCTGCGTCTGAAACACAGGAACGGGACGGGACCGGAATCTATAAAAGATAAGAGGAGGTAAGCGAGACCGGAACCAGAGAACCAGGAGAATCTGACTGAGTGACTGAGAGTTCTTACGGTCAGAGACCAGAAGTTGTGCGGAGGCGGACTGGGAGAGGCTGGAGTGGTGAGGATGGTGCTGAGCGTGGACAGGCAGGCGGTCGAGGAGATCGAAGACCTGAGGATCCTTGAGCGGTGAGACGAGAAACAACTCCAGACCAGGTAGGTGGTTCAGAACAGGAAACTGGAACAGGACAAACAAACTCATTAGCTCAGAACGCAGGACCAGGGCAGTTTACGAGGCTAGAAGCTACCCATATGAGAGTATCGACCGGCGCTGGAGTTGAGTCACATCGCTCCTTAAATCCTTGTGGCTCCGATTAGTGGAACTCCATGCAGCTGTGATGAGTGCCACGCCCACCTGTAAACACAGCGCTGACCAAAAACTCACAGCAGATGGAGGCAGGCCGTGACACCTTAAGGTTAGGATTGGGGTGAGGGGAAGGTTAAGTGGTTCACAAGTCGTTCTAAAGTCCGTCTCACCACCGGCGTCGGATACCGACGCTCTGGGACGGTGCGTCATCAGTGTGTCCCTGATCGTCGTCTCCTGACGCGTTGGGGCATCCCGAATCGTCATTTATTGATGCTTGGTCACACGTTATGCCCATGCATGCATGCTCCTGCTACAAGCAGAAACATGCATGTTAGACTGACTACAGATTCTAAATTGCCCCTTAAAGACATGCCTAGGGTGTCCCCATGCAGCCTCTCAACTAATGTTCGCTGGAGACACCAGCTCCCTGCAACCCGGGGAAGGATGAAACAATTCAGAAAAGGGATGGATTGTTTTAATTGTTAAAATAACAAACATCAAATACTGAATCAATCAATCAATCAAATCGAAGATACTTTATTAATCTTCGTCTTCGTCATCATCTTCCTCCGCTTATCCGGGTCCGGGTCGCGGGGGCAGCATCCCAATTAGGGAGCTCCAGGCCGTCCTCTCCCCGGCCTTGTCCACCAGCTCCTCCGGCAGGACCCCAAGGCGTTCCCGGACCAGATTGGAGATGTAACCTCTCCAACGTGTCCTGGGTCGACCCGGGGGCCTTCTGCCGGCAGGACATGCCCGAAACACCTCCCCGGGGAGGCGTCCAGGAGGCCTCCTGACCAGATGCCCAAACCACCTCAACTGGCTCCTTTCAATCCGGAGGAGCAGCGGTTCTACTCCGAGTCCCTCCCGAATGTCCGAGCTCCTCACCCTATCTCTAAGGCTGAGCCCGGCCACCCTACGGAGGAAACTCATTTCGGCCGCTTGTATCCGCGATCTCGTTCTTTCGGTCATTACCCAAAGCTCATGACCATAGGTGAGGATTGGGACGTAGATCGACCGGTAAATCGAGAGCCTGGCTTTCTGGCTCAGCTCCCTCTTCACCACGACAGATCGGCTCAGCGTCCGCATCACTGCAGACGCCGAACCAATCCGCCTGTCGATCTCCCGATCCCTCCTACCCTCACTCGTGAACAAGACCCCGAGATACTTAAACTCCTCCACTTGAGGTAGGACCTCTCCCCCGACCCGGAGGTGGCAAGCCACCCTTTTCCGGTCGAGAACCATGGTCTCAGATTTGGAGGTGCTGATCCTCATCCCAGCCGCTTCACACTACTTTATTAATCGCAGAGGGAAATTAGAGTTTCAGTACACACAAATCAGAGATCAGACATACATGCGCAAGACACCTTACAAGAATTGGTGACTGTGGTCATTCTCGACCCTGAGTCGCGCTACCTTAATAGAGATCAGAGGGGTTTACATGAGGATTGGTTCAGGTGGAGGGAAAAAAGGCACTTCAGAGTTACCCTCCAACAGGAGGGCAGCTTTGCTCTGCAAAAAAACACCTCAGACAGAGATATGCAACAGACTTCAGACAACACAAGTGTCCACTAGGAGGGGTGGTGGGTTGGGACCATCCCTACTTGAGTTCCTGCAGCCACGATGAAGCAGCGCATGTCACCTCAGTGTGGATGGGGGGTAGAGTTGAGGGTTGGAGGGTTGCAGTGACCCTGGACGCTTCGGCAGCCTTCTCGCTGTCCCGTCCAGGCTGGGAAAGGAGACAGAGTTGAGTTGCCATAGCGAACGCACATGCCAAAAACCTTCTATGGGGGGAGTTTTCATTGGAGCCTTGCTGGCTCAAGGACGCCAGATTCCAATTAGAAATTGTTTTGGGGCCAGACAGGGATAATTTCCTCTCTGTCTTACAGTTTGTTTTTGGTCCTCACCTCTCCGAATCCCAATAGTAATGGAAGTTAATCTATCCCAATCCGTGCTGATTTGTCCACTCTCTCCTTGATGGCGTCCATCTTTTGTGCCAAAGAATGAATCTCCGCCAAAGTCCCAAGCTTACGATTCATCTCGACAATTATTCGAGTCTGTGAATTCACAGCGCGGTGCAAACCATCTCTGAGCTCCGGGATCAGGCCAATATTCCTCAACAGCTCGTTAATTTTCTGGTAAGCCAGGTAGCCTCCAAGGCCAATGAGCAGGAAACCTGACACCAACACCACGAATATCCACATGTCTTCAGAGTTCTCCACAGACAGCTGAGATAAACAAATCAAGTTCCACTGTTTCCAGGAGTCCATGATGTGTCCAACTGGGTCTGTCCCGGCAGGACATCTGGGAGCCCCTTCTCCGGTTCTCATCGCTGAAAAATTTTTATCAATCGCGTTGAGGGACCAACTGACGAGATCCATTTAAATGTATTTCAGTTTCCAGTTTCCAGAAAAATGCAGAAGCAGCCGTGCACCCAGCACACAGAGACAGACAAAGGCCTTGAGGATAAGATATGGAGGAGAGGAGGGAAAAAAGCGTCTGCACCCTCCAAGAGCCGGAAGAAGGAAACAAAACAACAAATTCTGCAACATTACTTTCAAAAATTATTTTTTAGCAGATGACCCCTACCCAAAATGTTCAAAGATATGTTTTTATTTCTCTCAGTCTAATTTCCCTCTGGGATTAATAAAGTATTTTTGAATTGAATTAGAAATTAATTGAATTTGTTGCCACTTCTCGCAGCAATATTGGCCAATAATGTTGCTGTTATTCCCTGACAATATTCTTAATGTTGGTGGACATTACAGAGTGGTGGCGATAGTCTCTGAAACACAAAACGATGCTCTCTCTTTACTGAAAAACAGGCCTCACTGTTCAGATTTCGGCTAACAGTGGTGAATGTAACACACACACATTTACATAGACTTGGTAACTCTCATGTGTCCTCACAATCTAAATAATACGTCTGTTCTCTAAACCTACCCCAGACAATGCTGCCACTCTTGCTAAAATACACCAGAGTCTGCAGTTTGCTTGTGTGCATGGGAAAGATGTCACTAATTAACAAAATCTCTAGAAGACAGAAGGCATTATGGTAATGAGAAGAAAAGGGAAGAATGTATTCACAACACAATGGTAGAGAACGAAAGTTGAGGTCAAAAGTCATAAGATATTGACCATCAAGGGGCATCTTGCATCTGAAGCTCAGTGAGGAGATGGTTCTGGAACTTATGTTCAGCAGGACTATAGCACTTAGTATGTTTTCCCCTGTGGTACCAACGGGCTGAGAAGTCTCAGGGTAAAATAAAAAATATCTCGTTATCCGTTTATCTGCGGGCAGCAGAGGACGTTGTCGCCCTCTACTGCCCGCTCTCCCCTCTCTGACGATGCTGTCTTATGCGTGGTCCAGCGTGTAAACTCCGTCGTCCCTGTTCATGGTCCCACATCCACGTCTCCTTATCTCGATTGCTTCCTTGATCCATCTTTTGTATTTTTGTTGTTCGGTGGTTATGATCCGTGTGTTGTCCCAGTCCATTACATGGTTTTCTCTTAAGCAATGATCTGTTACGGCTGACTTTTTTATTGTACTAAACGGAGAAGGAAGTGACGCGCCACCATCAGCGTCAGCCTGAAGAAGCCGGCAGCCGTCGGCGAAACTGTAGCTACAAAACAGGTAAACAAAACTGTTTCTGTGTTTAAAAAGAACGAAAGCATGGATTTAGAAAGACACAGCAAGAACACACCTAAGATGGTTTGATTTTTCTTTGTGCAACAACTTGTACATATGCTCGATTCATTGAGCGCACATGATGCAATCGTAAAAAACAGTTTTGCACATTTTTTTTTCCACGTTTTATTCCCAAATAAATAAATTTTACCCGCTTTTCCAACAGAAAGTAGAACTTAAAGTTACAACTGTTGTAAACAATCACAAAGTAAAAGGATCCACACCGCTGGACAAAACTATTATTATTACAGGTCCAGCAGCAACAAGGCCAGGTCACCATCAGTCCACGATTTTGTAGCCTCGTTTCGAGTGTATGCTGTGCCGATGGAGCTCTTTGCTTTACTTTTAAAGAGTGTCTAATAAGAGCTGTTGACATGTCTAGTCATCATTTTGGCATTTGATTGCCTCTTATTGAAAATTTTAATATTCCTCCCAAAACCGATAGTGTAGCGGCCTCTTCAGGTTAAAGTCTGCTCTACGTTTAAATTAGAATCAGCCATCGCTATTGACTGAAACACTACAGAGTGGCGTAGCCAGTATAATTTATATTTCTGCTGTGGGGTACAGGGGTAGCTAAGTCTCGACCACAGCTCCAGCTGGCTCAGTCTCGGACTAGCCGGTATGAAACGATTCGCCTCCTCCGAAGAACCTTCCCCTGTCCTCCTTTTCCTCTGGTCAAAGAGGTGGAGAGAATACTTCCAGACTAGGAAGTGTGCTGGGGGTTGCCGCAGCTCTGCTCTCTATCTGCAAGGCAACACCTCCTATCAGTGCATTTTTCAGTCAGCATAAGTGGATGGAGTAAGAGTCTGTAGGTGGGTGAATTGCTCTTTAAAATTCCGGCACATTAGGAAATTGAAATCCATCCACTAAATGTTTTGAAGAATTGTGGAAACTTGCTCAAAAATACAGTTTGCTCTTTGTCATCATCAGCTGCAGACCAGCGAGGTACCGGCTTTAAATGTTTCCCAACTGCAATACACCTGATTCAAAGTGTTACCTCTACTTCTGCAAGGTCTCTGGTCCTGCAGCAGGACACAAAATCATCACAACCTGAGAATTTCAACTTTGAGTACGATTATTTTTCTGCTAACAAGCTTGAACTTTATGCTTGGCTCAGATGCAACTTTTCATTCTTGCACCATGTTGTTGCACGATACCATCAACACTATTGGATAGACTGATAGTAATGGGTAAGTATCAACAGCATGAACTCTGATGTAATAGAAAAAGGCATTTCAGGGTCTTTGTGATATTGACCATCAAGGGGCATCTTGCTTCTGAAGCTCAGTGAGGAGATGGTTCTGGAACTTATGTTCAGCAGGACTATAGCACTTAGTATGTTTTCCCCTGTGGTACCAACGGGCTAATTTACAGCTTAAACACAGGAAATGACCTTAATCCCCTGAGCTTCCTTTAATCTGCAAACTCTCTCTGTTCTTCATGCTCCAAATGACTGGGCAACACACATGTCCTCACAGAGCCACACACACACACTCACACACACACACACACACACACACACACACACAGTCCTGAGCTGCTCAGTGGTCAATGGTAGAGAAGATCCTGCTCAAGGTGATTAAGCTTTTTTCTCAAGGAAACAAAGAAATAATCCAGAACATTAAAGGTCAGACCTCAGAGATTATGTTGTTGCTGTTTAACCTCCAAGCTTTTAACAGTAGGTGCTCTCCTTTGTCTTTAGGGCAAGGTTTTCACACATCTGTGTTTTAGAACATGTTCAAAGAATATATAAAAAGTTTCTTCTCACTATATTCAAGGAGGCATGATGAGCATATGGAACTGGTTCAGTTTGGCTTCCATATAGCTTGGATCACACCGCACAATTTTTAAATATTGGGAAACGTTTTTAAATCACACGAAGTTCACAGTGTCTCAGTTTCCGACTCCCGCCGCCCATCCATTTGGACCTCCACCCCCTAGGACTCCATCTCCCAGCTTTCCATCCACCAAAACCCACGTCATCACCCACGTCTATTCACAGAAGCCAAGTCCCTCCCACTCCAAGCCAACCCAGGAAACCCAAACAGTTTCCAACTGACTAGGAAGTCATTTCCTTTTTCTTTCCTAGATTCTTTCCTAGGGTGTTTCTCAATGTCAAGGCGCCTGGCTTTGCGAGGCGATGTCTTGCGAGGCCAGGCGCCTTGATTACGAGGACACTGTCCTTCCTTGGTCAAAGAAAACGGTTACATGGAACAGACTTGCATCACATGACTGTGGCTTCTATATTTTACACATGTTAGTTTCAATATAAATATATAACGAGCCTTTTACTTTTTAAATTGTGTATATGTTTAATAAATTAAAAATGTAAGCGAGTTACTACCCGCTAGCAACCAAAGCTGCAACTACTAAGCAACTAACCAACAATAGATAACTTCTTTGGATCTAACAAAAAACATTTTAATAGTTGACTTACTTTTAAACTTGAAAATTATCCCCGAAGTAGCTGCCGGCTTCGGATCCACCGTCTTTTTGAAAATACCGCGGTGTATTCTGGGTAATTTTTGACCAAGGCTAGGCTACAAGATGCCTCCCGTGTATCCTCGCTCAGCTAGCTAAACGGCTAACAAACGTAGAACACACGCCTCGGTAGAACATGAACACTGGCGGTTCCTGATGACGTATTTCCTAGGCGGGACCAAGCCATTAAGGCAAGGTTCCTTGGCATTGAGAAACACCTCTAATCTTTCTTTTCCTATAGAATGTTGTTTTCATTCCCCCTACGAGTATTTCCACATCTGGGTCATTACAACACACCACAGCTCAAGTCCTCGTTCATTCAGATCACTCCATGGTAAAACCTGCCACACAGATATACCAGCGTTGGTCCTTCAGTGTGTGGTGTGCAACCACTTGGCAAAGACAACACACAAAGCAAATCCCCACACAAACATTCCTCAGTCGGACCAGAAAACTTGCAAGATCAAACACGACCTGTCAGCTCTCACTAAGGAAGAAAAGGGAGTCTTTAAGTTTATTTGTCATGTTAAACTTTTTATTTCAGCGAAAGCCACAAATACAGGTCCCAGGCCAGGTATAGAGGGATTAAGCTGTACATGTTGTGTTTTATGGAGTTTTGGGGGGGACACTTTTATGTCAGAGGGGGACACGTCCCCTCTGCCCCCCCCCCCCCCCCCCCCCCACCCCCCACCCCCAGAATTTTCACCTATTCCCTCAACCACAGCCTGGTCTTCTTCAGGACTCATTTTCTGTTCCTCATTCAGCCCAAAGTGAGCTAACTGAGGTAATTTAACACTTTTTTTCCCCCTTAAAGTAACAACAGATTTGTTTTCAAACGAGAACTTATATCTCAGTGATTGTTGGGTTAGAAACTTGAACAGTTTCATATTTGACACCACTCTGCACCCTTCTGCTGACCAAACACCGCGCAAGAGATTATTGGGGAGTGAATAGGTTTTCTAAGGGAGCTCTGTACCTGCTTCACGGTCTAAACAACTTTTACTTGTGAAAAATAGCATGAGGGGATCAGTAAACAGTGTAAGGCAGAGGTGTGACCAAGTCACTGCTTTGCAAGTAACAACTGAGTCACAAGTCCTTCCAGTCAAGTCTCGAGTCAAGTCCAAGTCAAAGACAACCAAGTCCAAGTTGAGTCCAAAGTCAATGATCTGGAAGTCCAAGTCAAGTCCAAGTCCTTAACTTTGAATTTTCAAGTCATAATCAAGTCATCTGTCCAACTTCAATTTAATGACAATGATAATAAATAAATTCCAGAATAAAGCTTCTTAAAGCTTCATTTATTTGCTCAAACAAGCAGAAAGTGCAACTGAACTTGACTGTGTTTCTGCATTTAGCAGTACGAGATCACACCCAGAGCGAAGAATGATTCATGATTTTTGTCCATGTCGTGTCACTTTTGTGCCTAAAATATCAAAAATGCTCAAGTCATCATCAAGTCAACAAATGCAAGTTGATTCAAGTCGCAAGCCATTGGTGTTCAAGTCAGACTCAAGTCATAAGTCTTAAAAGATTGTATCAAGTCAAGTCAGAAGTCATTAAAATAATGACTTGAGTCTGACTCGAGTCCAAGTCATGTGACTCAAGTCCACACCTCTGGTGTAAGGTAACTTGTTTTCTACACAGAAACACAACTAAAGCGTAAAAATGTTGGTGTTGCTGGACATTTTGCTCCGTTTTATGGCTTTTTGTCAGACTCTGTACCAGGAAATGGCTGCAGGCAGTCAAACAGAAGGCAAAAAACTCTGGAGCAACCAGTGACTCCGCCCCCTAGCCAGTCAGCAGCCAGGTTCACGATTATGGCCTGGCTCAGCCTTGCCAGGTACCTTAACAAAGCAGGGACTAAATATTGGGGAGAAAGTGGAGGGAAAATACCAAATTGTGCCTGTGGGAACAGTGGTCAGGCCAAGCTGCATCAATATAAGTCACTCTGAGTAGGGCTCCTGGAAAACTACCTTTAGTGTTAACTCATTGTTAGCGCTACCTACTGCAGGGTTGTTTATGACAGTTGTATTATGGTTCCTTTTTTAAACAGCTAAAGTGTTATTTTTACCTTGTTTTTGCTGATGTTTTGACCGTCACTGCAACAGCGGCAAAGCTCTAAAGAAGTCTACAGTGATAGTCGAAACGTCAACAAAAACAAGGTAAAAATAACACTTTTGCTGTGTTAAAAAAACTGTAATACAGTTGGATGAAATATGCAGAATGAACATACAAAAGATGTTTATGACAAATGTTATTCTACTCTCAACCAGTAGGGGCGAGGAACAGAAAACTGCTCACTGATACATGAAGTTATAGGAGTTCAGTGGTTGATACAAAACATGTTTATGAAGCTCTTTGGACTAAATCCCTCCCACATTTTCAGCAGTTTAATTATTTGCATTTTCAGTTCCTTACAGAATGAGTCATTTGAGAGCTTTGTCACTTTAAGAAAAGAAGCTGGAGCTAGCCATGTCCACCTATTCTCAAATCTGGGAGGGGCTCAGCATAGAGCCGCTGCTCCTCCAGAAGCAGCTCTTGCATGCGATGGGTGGTTCTATTCTAATTTTCCTGTTTGTGACATCACAAACTGGGACTTTTTGAAATGACTTGTCTCAAAAACATAATAACAAAAACCAAACACTGACAGAAAATGGATGGACAGATTTTTTTTCTCATTTAGAGTGTTTATAGAGGCAGTGGTGACGCACATGGCAGCACTAGAGGATGCAAAAAGTGAATTTTGCATAACATGTAAGCTTTAATTAGTTAAGTAAAAGAAAATTGTTGTTACAGTTTCTCATCAACTCAATTGGAATAATATGAAGTTTCGAGTCTAGACGATTCTTCATTTTTGTGAGCTGATTCACAATTACAGCATTTTCTAAACAATCCCTGATTAATAAAGAACTCACTGAAAGCTTCAAACTGCATTTTTCATTTTAAACTGATAAGGTAGGTCAGATGAGAAATAAAAAGTCTCTTCAGTTTGCACCTTCAAGCTGCACTAAAACCTCTTTATGATTTGTAGAATAAAAATCGCTCAATGGCTCTAAACAAACAATATTTAATGTCTTGTAAACAATGCATTCAGTCCACTCAGATTATCAACACAAGGTCTGTTTTCCAGGTTTCCATGGCTTTCTTTCACAATTCTTTTTTTCACTCCCGTCCAAAGGCCTCTTCTGTTCAGATCATGGGTCGGGAGTTTCAGGTTTATAATCTGTTGTTGGTTCGTCTTAAACTGACCAACCCATTTCTCCTGAGATCCGTTTACTTTTTTATGTTTAAGGTACAAGTTTGAATGGTTGTGAAACTGCTTGGGAAGGAGATCCGACACGGCATTATGGGTATTACGTGGATGAAACCTGAGGCCAACTCACCTGTATAGCGTAGCTTCCTGTTTTAAAGATGGCTTCCGTCGCTTGTCTTTCCGATGATGTCTTCTCTGTTCAAATGTGTCCTAAAAAGACTGTCCTTTTTATCTGAGGTGCAGATCTACTGTGTTGTCTCATATCATCACCCTGAGACGGACTTCCAAAGCTCAACTCAAAATTCATGATCTGAACTGAGGAATCCTTTTGGATGAGCGGAGAAACGGCTCCAGTACAGAAACATCCTTGTCCTGGAATACTGTGGATCCACACCAACCTTTGTTGTCAGGAAAACAATTATGAAGACCATAAAGTTCAATTGCTAAAAAGCGCTAAAGTAAACGGCTTCATGTGCTTCTTGAATACTGGACAGTTTCATTTACTTTAGGAAAATATGTCATTATGAAAGTGTCATTGTAAAAACCTGGAGTCATAAAGAAGAGGGAAAACGTTTTTATATCGCACCTCACAAGATAAAAATCACGAGGCGCTTCAAAGACCAAAGGTGACAGATCATCTGCTGCTGTGGCCCCCAGACTCTGGACCTCTCTCCCCCTGAGCCTGAGATCAGTGGACTCAGTGGTCTCCTTTAAAAAACAGCTGAAAACTCACCTGTTCAAGATGGCTTCTGCGTGACCTTTGTCACCACCCTTTCCTAACTGTGCATTTGATTTGTCCTTGGAACTCGGAAATCCCCACCTCCGAGTAGGAAAATTCAAATGACACCCCCACCCCCCCCCACCCCCACCCCCACCCCACCACCACCACCACCACCACACACACACGTCGGACCTCCCAGTCGAAACTCAGAAATTTTTCACAACCCCGACTTCAAGATCCAAAATGGCAGCTCTCCGTATCAACACCAGTAAGTTTTGATTGAAATGTGTTTATTTTACAAGACACACGTATAAGAATGCGTCTAAAATCAATGTTATATGTAGCGCCTGCAACTCCAAGCTGAACACTCTAAAAGTGTTGTTTGAATGTCGAACATACAGCTTATATCTATGTTATACAAACAATGGCTACTTGGGAGGTGTGCTATCCCACTCCCCCACAAAGCAAGAAGAT